TTATTATTTTTATTACTAGTAAAAGCACCCGTTCTACGAACGGAATAATAATGAAGCAGTATTAGGAAAGTTAAGAAGAAGAAAAAGACTGAAAACAGGGAAGAAACAAAACATAAATATTTTACCTTGAACTTATCCATGTAGCACCCCCTCTTGACTACCTCTATGGGTAAGACTTCTTCCCCCTCTTCGAAGGCGTGGCATTTTCTCCTAAAGTTCCAGCTCAATCACTTTCAAAAAAAAGAGTTGGGCCTACATGCCAATTGTTGCTTTCTAGAAGAATCTAATCTAGATTCTAGATCTAGCAAAGACAAAGGCCACAAATTATTGAAAGAAGGAGCCTTGGCCCATAGATAGATCTAAGTTTAGAAATCCATATTTTTAACAACCGACAGGCGCCACAGATGGCGCAGATTTCTAGATCTATTCACAGCAGGAAAAATCCACTTTCAAGAATACTTTCATGATTCTTGATCTCGATCTAGATTTACCGACAGCCTAGTTCTAGACTCTAGATCTATTAACAGCAGGAAAAAATCCATGTTCAATATTTTCATCCTTCTTGATCTCGATCTAAGATTCACATACAGATCTAGCCTAGATCTAAATCTAGATCTTAGAATCTATGATGCACAGCAAGAAAAATCCACGTTCAATATTCAATAGGGTATCACAAAATATCCTTGTCCTTTGGCGTGCGCGCTAAATCCACTGCAGGAGAAATCTACTTTCAATACTTTCATGACTCTTTATCTTGATCTAGATTAGATATTAGATCTAGACATAGATCTACACACGAACACACTGAACACAAAATGTCCTTCGGCGCACTTCTGCGTGCGCACTAAATCCACTGCAGAAGAAATCTACTTTCAATACTTTCATGATTAAAAAAAAAATGATCTAGATATTAGATCTAGACATACACACACATGCGACTACACGTAGGGCGTAAACCGGGCTACGATTGACTGAACCTTTGACTTTGACCCATGAATACATTAAATAGGCCTACGGTAGGTTACTCTCTTCCTTTCTCTCTCTGTCTCTCTCTCCCCCTCTGTCTCTGTCTCTGTCTCTGTCTGTCTGTCTGTCTGTCTGTCTCTCTCTCTCTGTCTCTCTCTCCCCCTCTGTCTCTGTCTCTGTCTGTCTGTCTGTCT